GCATCTAGTGGGTGTAGTGCTTATAACATTTGTATTAATGTAGCAAAATTATGCTTTTCTCTTTTAACAATGAATTGCTCTTATCAGCACGGATGCTCACATTGAGCATAAAAAAAGGGCATGCATATTGCATAGCACCAATGACACCTGACCAATTGTGTCCCTACCAAAGTTCAAATCAAACCTACGCCCTTGCATGAAAGAATAACATTTGTTATTGGCATGAGCGGGGAGGATATTACCATAAAGCTTGCTCTGAAATTGATGCACTCATCATCATCATCATCATCATAATGATAGTGGTGGAGAGCAGTGAGTTGCACTACAGGGATTCCCCATGTTCCACCACTACTGTACGCATCCTGCCTCACGTAGCCTTTCTGTCTAACGGCCCTTATATAGGATGTAAAGTAGGAAGAAAAACAAATAGATTTTCACGTTTAAATTGTGATAACATTTGTAACACACTGAAAAAAATTATGCAACCGTTTTTCCTGCATTTACTTAATCACATTTAGTTACTTTAACTCCTTTTTTGTACCTATTAACACGGTAGGACATAAAACAATTATGTTAAAGTAACTAATAGATGCCCAAATCTGTATGTTTTGATCTTTTTATTGAATAATATGTCATCAAAGCACATCTCTCTGTTTTTTTTCCTTGTGATTACATTCTGTGAACGCCATACAAACCAGACCACTTTGGTTATCATCGCTCTGTAGCAGCTCAGAGGCCGTGAGGAGTCCCTCGTTCAGAATGGATCCTGGTGGTGTGACGTCATGTCGCTATGGAGACCAGGCGTTATAAAAGCTGAAGTCAGACCCGCGAGCGGCGCACACTGACTCAAGCAGCATCAGCAGTGAGGTGAGTGAGAGCTCCGCCGTATAAGGTTTACGCTCTTAACGTTAGTCTAAACTATATATATATATATATCGATATTCTTATCAAACATTCATCAAATATTAATATTAATCGCTTTCCCCGCGGAGGCTGTACCTCCATCACGGAAGCTACAATGGCCTTGCTGCTTTTGCCGTCCTTTTTTCAAGGTTAATTAATCGGGTGTTTTAGTCTAAAGACGACATTCGTGGTAGATGAAGGGAGTGGAGGTGAAGTTTAGGTGTTTTTATATATATTTTCTTTCTAACCCGCTCTGTTTGCAGTTTGCTTCTGAATGATGCCGTCAGGAACGCAGGGAGAAGGGGAGGGGATGCGCAATGGCCTCCTATTCTCGAAGACACTTTATGACACAGCTGCATCCTGTAACATTGGCTCTAACAAAGCAGGGAAAAAAGCACATTGGAAATTCCTTTTACTTTTAAAATAAATTCTTGTTAATTCTTGCTCTTTTTAAACGGAAAGGGTTGCAAATTTTGCGACTATCGTGACTTTTTAAGCTCTCCTGGCTGCATCTGCGGAAGTAGACAGGACTCCATGTTATGTAATCCGGTTCACGCTGTGTCACAGTTTCCTCTGTGAAATATTCGGATACTCTTTCCTTAAAGGGGGAATGAGGCCGATGAAAAGCTTCACATTATTCATTTATTACAGTTGTGCATCATGTCGAGTGATAAAGCTGCTTCTGAGGTGAATAAACGAAGCTACGTGCCTTCTGTTCCCTTCATGATGAAAGTCTGACGTTTTACAGCGGAGGGATGGATGGGATCCGGCGGTTATAGGATTTAACGGCCCGAATGATGAGGAGATCATAATGTGAACGGTTTAGTTCAGCCTAGCTTGAGAGAAAGCGTAGTGATACATCACTGTGGTGCGTCGTTAGGACGGAGGAAAAAGTGGCGCAGTGGCGCATGATTCTGCCGCAGTTTTACACACTGGACGGACCTGTTGATGAGGCCTTGTTTTTTTTTTGTTTTTTTTTTCTCAAAGCATTTGGGCAAAATTAACTGCATTAAACCGGACTGTATTAAGCACTTATGCAAAATTCTAACATATATATTCGTAGAGTCACGTGACAGTTTACAGGAAGACGCAGCGGGATGAAGGTCATCGTTTGAGGATGATGAAGGGCACAGCAGGCCCACAGCTGCTCCGCTGATGCTAATCAACATTTTAATCCCAACCTGCTTTATATCACATTGTAAACGGAGACACGAACCGCTCCAGTTCAGTTCAAATTGCTTTTTAAGTAAACGTTATAGATGGAAGAACATTAGCATTAGCTATGACCTAGCTAGCTTCTATTTCTGTCAAAATCAGGTATTAGCATTGTTTTATTACATATATTTAATCATCTTTCGTGAATATTTATGCATTTAATTATCTAAGCAATCTATTTTACATTTTCTTTTCTATTTTGGAATGTTTTCTTCAAAATCTGATGTTGGCTTATTCTGCTTGTCATGCTCATGAGGGTTATTCTCATTAATAAAAATACTTCATGTTAGCTCATCCAGCTTATAGCAGCTATTTAGAAAAGGTTACCAGCTGACAAATACCTTCAAACTTCTTATTACTCTGTTACTCAAAGTGAATAACGCTTCCCAGCGAGTTTTTGCTGGACTGTCAGCAAGATGAAAGATTATTGATATTTTTTTATGCTCACAGAAAGTAAAATTTTGTGGGATCCCTCATTCTCAATAAGATCGCATAGTTTTTAATACAAAGTGCAAATTTTATATTTCTGTCAAAACATACAGTTTTGATTTGAAGTATTTCAACTAACACTTCTAAAACTGAGGTATTTTTTTTTATTGGGAGTGTGATAGTAGCAGACACCCCACATGTGGTGCAATAAACCATCAGGGAAGTATATAGCTTTAGCTTCCCACTTTACAGCTTTCACAACGTGGCTCTCAGATATATTTCCTGCTAATGGTCATTTGCATACACGAGTCACTCATTCTTTCTGGCGTAATTGCGAGTTATTTCAAGATTAACTCAGTTTTTCCCCCCTGAATAGTGGTTTGGTTGGTATGAGTGTCCCCCTTTGAACATACAGCTTTGTGGGAGAAGAAGAAGCATTCAGAATGACTCAGCATTCTCTGCTAAACGGTCACCGCTTTTAGGAAATGAGCCATCCCACATGGAAGAAGGTGCACACATGCTGCATGCTGTAGACAGGAAATGGGAAAGTCTTAAGATTTAGCAGTAGAATCATGTGACACAGACTCTTATATATTATAAGCAATAAAATACCAGAAAAAAATCACATTGTGTGGGTGTATGGTATATAACCTTCCTTGCTTTATAAAGCATCAAGGTAAATGTATGTTGTCACATTTCACAAGTTAAAATAGCTTATGACAACTTTGTGCTGTTACATTGTGCCAGTTCATTTTAACCTATATTTTTAGTTGCAGTACAAGTTTGTCTATGTCTGCATGTTTTAGACAAGTGATGTGATGAAGTAGAACATTTGAATGACTTGTTCAAAGCAGCAGAGAGATGTATCTAAGGTGACATCGTCATAATACCAGGCACACCCCTGGAAGAGGAAGTGATTGAAACTGCTAGTAAAAGGAAAGTTTGTTTTATTGCACAAGAAAAACTCCAGAAGTTGGTGCTAAAAAGACACAGTAAGAGGCGTTTAAAGAGGAACAAACATCACCTAATTGGATATTCTGCAATATCTCTGTCCAATCGACCCACCGCAGTGGAAAAACACTGAGGGTGTGTCGGAGGAATAGGAAGCTGGGGGAAGGTTTGAAACACCAAGGGCAGACCAAGGAGGAAGGCTGGGGGGTGGGGCACTGTGGTGAGGATACACTCAGAGAACTTGCTCATATTCACCAAATGTTGTAAAATCTCTAAAATAGGATCTGTATGCCTCATGTCTTTCAAGGCATTTGCATTAAATTACAGACCAATTAATGCATTTTGGAAAAAAAATCTGCAGAAATACATCATTGCATAATACTTACAAGTTGTAATGCAACCTGGTGTATCTGTCCTTTTTTGGTAGTCTGGTTATGACACATCCTTCCCCCCAGTGGTCCCTGCAGTGCAACTTCAAGAGGAAAATGGGTTGAAGTTAGGGGGAGGGGAGGGTTTTTAGAAAACAACAGAATCAGACAAAGAGTGGCTGATCTGGTTAAATCTGGGCTAAGGGGGTCGACCCTGGGCGTCTGCATTTTAATGATTATGTCTGGGTTTGGGGACATGAGAGAGGTCAGGTTTGAAAGTCATGATTCAGACAGGAGAGAAAGAAATTGATCTGAATGTTTAGGGGGTATCTGTCTGATTAACCTTTAATGGTAATTGCAGCAATACCCATCCTATGATTCACTCTGATCCAGGCCTTTGCATTACGTCCTTTCTTTAAAAAACGGCTCCTGCTTTCAGCTTTAGCATCGATACCATAAAACTTTATCTAAGCTTCCTGGCCCGCCTTTATCATTAGATCTAAACTGAAGGTTTCCCCAGATACGGAGCTTCTGGAATCTTCTCTCCTTCCTTACTAAGGAGATAAAGCAGTAACAGGTGATATCTCACAGGAAAAGCAAGCTCGTGTTCAGCCTCTATCCTGCTTTCTTACTGCGTCCTCTCCTGACATATTAATGAGTGGCAGCAGATTGTGAGCTCCAGCCATCAATGTGTTACCTCCCTGCTCTCCACTGCACAATGGGTCCTCTGTAAGCAGCTTTTCAGTATAAGTGCAGCCTGAATACCAGACTGTGGATAATGGCACCTACGCTTATAAAGACGCAGCCCTGGAGCCATTTTTATCTACTTCTTGATTAAAAGTTTGTTTTAATGTGTATAAAAACCTCATTAAAAATACACCAATTATTTGTTTTTATTTTGATAAAGATGTCTGTCTGATTCAGTATCTCTTTATCATTTATTTCCATTCGTGCATCAAAGCATTACCCCCTGTTATTTGAATTTTATTTGATTTTTAGGAGGTTAAACCATCAGGAATAAAGCCTTACTTTTTCTTTACTTTTAGATTATCTTTAAAGGTAATTCTGGCTGCAAATAAAGCAGATAAGTCATAGTGACATGGTGAGTTATGGCTTGAGAACCTGGACTGCACATTTACCTGATAAAGTGATCATTGTTTGTTTGAGCCTGAGTTGCATTGACTGAATTTAGTTGAAGAAACGTCTTTTCTTTGAGACCACTTCTCCTTTGCAACTTCCATCCTCTTTCTTCCCTCCCCTCAATTGGCCAATCCCTTAAACAACCTCAGGCTAACACTAAATGACATGAATGGGATTGTTTTGTCGAGTGTGTGCAGGTTTACATACATGACTTGCCTCGACATGTCAACCCATCGGGAAAAGTGATGAAGTTAGAAAAACTTTCCACAGCTGGAGTCTCCTATATTTGGAATTCAGCTCCAGCTGATCTCCTCCATCAGCCTTTGCTGCTTCTTGTTCAGCAGACGTTTCGACCTGCTTAGAGATGCAGAGTGGACCACACTGTTGGATCATTTGTCAGCAGGGCAGCCATTTTGTTCTGGGTAGCCAGGGCAACTGCTCCTGTGCAGAGAAAAGTGAGAAGCTAGCATGCATGGATGAGAGGCAGCTGATTATAGGAGGAAGAGAGCTACCTTTCAACTTTGTGAACACAAAAAGTAGAAGCACATAAACCCCCCCCCCCCTCCTTAGCTGACCTTGTATACCAGATGCTGGTTGCAGAACATAAAATGGCTGCTCTGCTTTCATAAAAAACTCACATAAATCATAATAAATAAACAGATCATAAGGACCCTTTAAGATGAACCAAGGTATAGTCATTCACATCAGTTCAAATGATACACTAGGGTTCTCCAAATATGTACTGTGAGCAGTAATGTTGGGTTCTGAGAGATAAAATTAATTGTAATCTGGTTATTCCTTCAGTCTATTTAAAGTTCTCCCACAATGCATTTCAGCGGATTGACAGCTTGTCCTCAAGCCCCAACACACAACAGATTAGGAGATTAGAGCAGTTGAAAATGACCAGGAGCCAGATCCTCCCTACCTGTTCCTCACAGACATATTTAGGAAGTTGAAGACACACTTTATCAGCAGCATTTTGTAAACAAGTATGGTTTTCTCCCACAGAGGCACCAGTCAGATTTTTTTAGGGACATAACTGTCCTTAAACTTGAGCAATAAGTGCCTCTTTTGTTGATTATTTTCATTATTATATATGATGATTGTAACATGCTCCATGTTTTAATCACATGAAGTTGGTGTCTAAAGACCCAATCTGAGTCCTTAGAGTGTTTAGGCGTTTGGGGTAGAAAGACACAGGATTCATCCTAAGGTACAAGCGCTACATAAAACAGCGAGGAGAAGCAGAGAGAAAATGAGGTCAAATAGTTGTTGCAGAGCCAGACGCTCCTCTCTGCTGAGTTGGAGGACACATCTCCCTGCTGCGTTACATACCAGTCGCTTTCTCCCGGCCTTCTGGATGCTTTGTTTCCTAAACATGTCCCTGCATGGAGCAGAACCTCCAGACCCAAGTTTACACGCCTGGGAAATATAAAATTTAATCGCCTGTATGTTTGAACGCTCCTCTATTGACGTTAACCTTTACGTTTTTTCAGCCCCAGTACCTGGGTTATAATATGGTTTTACATGTTACCTGCTCTAAGTGTTAATTTCTTTTATATTTGAACAGTATTACTCAGACTTGGTGAATTTTTCATGGTCTGTTGTAAAAAGCAGTGATTGCTGGTTTATAGCAACAAGACTTTCCAGTCTGACCAGATCTCTGACCTGGTTTAAGTTAACCGTTCTCAAAGCCCTCACCTATCGCTCTGTTTGTTTTGTCACCTCTAATGTTCGCTGTTGAAACTCAGTGTGCTGCTAAAATGGTGATGTTTTCCAGCAGGGGTCAGTTTACCTAAATTGTCAGGCGTCTGTCGTTTCTCACTGCCGTTTTTTTGTCTTGCAGGTAACTCCACACCCCCTAAGCAACAGCAACCATGTCAGACCTTTGTGTTGGAATCAATGGGTGAGTTCAAGCCTCATGTTTTATAAACACTATGGTCATTTTCAACTGTTTTTATTTTCTCTTCTTAAAGCTATGCATGAATTGGTGCCCTCTGACACTACTTAGGAAGGTTCTTTGATTTTTACACCAAAACAAGTATTTCTGGATTCAAATGTTAGGTTTTCACAAAGTGTGATGCAAATTTAGCTAATGAAACCTTTGATTTATTGTTTGTAAGGATAAAAAAAGAAGTCTTTCGGTATAAAACACAAATCTTCCTTCCTGATTTCCTTTAGACAATTATTTAGCAGCTGTTAAAATCACTTTCTCTCCCTTTCTGCAGCTTCGGTCGCATCGGCCGTCTGGTCCTGAGGGCATGCCTCCAGAAAGGCATCAAAGTCGTCGCCATCAACGACCCCTTCATTGATCTGCAGTACATGGTCAGAAAGCTGCCTCCTTAATTAGTTACAGCATCTAATTCTGATTCATTCTTTGGTTAAATTAGAGACATGGAGGGATTATATATCAAGCTGATCCAAGAAGTATAACACCACATTTCATTGTCTGATTGGAAACTTTTTTACCAGTTTGAAAAACTGGAATCAATTAATCTCAATTGGGATCTTTCCCCAATTTTTTGTTAGCTGAAGTAAAAATAAACATGAGTGTAGAACAGCTTCATCCTTCATCTTGTTAGTGGCATAAGCTTCCTGCAAAGTTTTGCAAACTGGAGACGTGAAGTAAGCTTCTAAGATTATTTAATTAATTTTGATCAGCTGTGTAAATAGATTATGTTAGTCTGAGCAAAGTCGATCATTAAAACAAAAATTAAACTAAATCTGTAAATAAACCACAACACAACTGCTAAAACTTTGCATTCAGACTAGGTAAAATTATCCCGTTGAAGCATTGAAGTACAAAATCTCAATTAGCTGAAGTTAAATCAGACTAACTACAGTAAATGTCATTTAGATCAGCTCTGTTTGTTTCTTGTTAATAATATTTGTATTTAGTAAACATATATGTGACCTTATCATTAGGAGTCGTATTGTTGTTATCAATACTGTTGATAATGGGTAGGTGTTCACTTAGTATTGCTAAAAATGAGATTAAAGGAAAGCTCAAACTGATAAAAGATGGAAGAAAGGTGCAGGGTGTCTAAGCTGTTATTTATGTGTCTAATATAAAACATAAAACGCACTGCCCATGTGTATCTGGGCTTCAAGTGTTTGTGTTTAGATCAATGTGTACGTTTATATGTAAGCTCATACATANAATTATTTAGCAGCTGTTAAAATCACTTTCTCTCCCTTTCTGCAGCTTCGGTCGCATCGGCCGTCTGGTCCTGAGGGCATGCCTCCAGAAAGGCATCAAAGTCGTCGCCATCAACGACCCCTTCATTGATCTGCAGTACATGGTCAGAAAGCTGCCTCCTTAATTAGTTACAGCATCTAATTCTGATTCATTCTTTGGTTAAATTAGAGACATGGAGGGAATATATATCAAGCTGATCCACGAAGAATAACACCACAATTCATTGTCTGATTGGAAACTTTTTTACCAGTTTGAAAAACTGGAATCAATTAATCTCAATTGGGATCTTTCCCCAATTTGTGTAGAACAGCTTCATCCTTCATCTTGTTAGTGGCATAAGCTTCCTGCAAAGTTTTGCAAACTGGTGACGTGAAGTAAGCTTCTAAGATTATTTAATTAATTTTGATCAGCTGTGTAAATAGATTATGTTAGTCTGAGCAAAGTCGATCATTAAAACAAAAATTAAACTAAATCTGTAAATAAACCACAACACAACTGCTAAAACTTTGCATTCAGACTAGGTAAAATTATCCCGTTGAAGCATTGAAGTACAAAATCTCAATTAGCTGAAGTTAAATCAGACTAACTACAGTAAATGTCATTTAGATCAGCTCTGTTTGTTTCTTGTTAATAATATTTGTATTTAGTAAACATATATGTGACCTTATCATTAGGAGTCGTATTGTTGTTATCAATACTGTTGATAATGGGTAGGTGTTCACTTAGTATTGCTAAAAATGAGATTAAAGGAAAGCTCTAACTGATAAAAGGTGCAGGGTGTCTAAGCTGTTATTTATGTGTCTAATATAAACACATATAACGCACTGCCCATGTGTATCTGGGCTTCAAGTGTTTGTGTTTAGATCAATGTGTACGTTTATATGTAAGCTCATACATATCGATTTATTTGTGCAAATATGTAACTGAAGTGGAACTGGGTTTAAAAATAATTTCTTGGAATGGAACAATATCAATTAGTAAAACCCTTGAATTTATCCTTTTTCATTTGCATGGAAACTTTGTGAGACAATTTTATTTACATGTCCTGCCCTGTGGTTTAGATATGTTAAATTGGTTCAATTTTTCTCAGATCACATTAAATAGAAAGTACGTAATTAATGTAATTGCACCATTTTCAATTCCTGAACTTAATATTCATATTTGTTCTCGTTATCTTTAATGCAGTTTGCATGAGTGAACTAATTAAAGAGATACACTTTATTATTATCTGTAAATAGACTTTAATTAATTAATGCACTTAAAATTACATAGTAGGACTTATTTATTTATTATATATATTTATTTATAATTCTCTGTTAGCTCTAGTTTTTTTTCTGAAAAGCAGATAAACATTCTGCGAGGGTCCTCTCACATTGACTCTGCATTTATTACCATTCACTTGTAGGTCTACATGTTCAAGTATGACTCCACCCACGGCCGTTACCATGGCGAGGTCTCCCATGATGGCGGCAAGCTCATCGTTGATGGCAACCCCATCTCTGTTTTCCAGTGGTAGGTAAATCTTTATGAATGTTCCGCAGGAAACATTATGTCTGCAGCTAAATCTTCAGCCTAGTAGAAACTAAAGCGTTGAACTTTATTTTACTCAATGCAAGAAATCTCTATCTTTAAATTGCCCCTGGCTGCCTTCAGGGTGATTCTGCAGCTGGTTTGTGTTTTTTAGAGCAGTTTTTGTTACTTTGATGTGTACGTGTGGATTCCTAGCGTTGGAGTGAAGCTTTCTGCTCCACCGTCTGTGGCAGCTGTTGCTTTAGCTCTTTGTTCTGCACAGTCTCATGTCTGATGATGGGAAAACTGGCCAAAGGATGGATGTAGACAAGACATTCTTGCTTCACAACCCACCAAGGATCTGAAGGCTAGACTATAGTGCAGGTTTAGTTTTTAACCATCTCCTTTCTGCTTGTTTGACCCAGTATGAAGCCTGCTGAGATCCCCTGGGGCAGCGCTGGAGCCCTTTACGTTGTAGAGTCCACTGGAGTTTTCCTCAGTTTGGAGAAGGCCAACGTACGGACACACAGTGAAATGAGCTTTTAAAGAATAACCCACCGTTTCTGGGATAATAGCCTTTCTAATATGCTATTTTACTTTGATTCCAACACAGTTCCACATCCAGGGGGGCGCAAAGCGCGTGGTTGTGTCTGCCCCCTCGCCTGATGCCCCCATGTTCGTCATGGGAGTGAACGAGGACAAATACGACCCGTCCTCCATGACCATCGTCAGGTAATGTCCAGTTTATATTAGTATCAACCTGCAGCATCTTTTTAAAGCCTTGCTGAGTGACAACATGTTTTCCTTTTTCCTCTCAGTAACGCCTCCTGTACCACCAACTGCCTGGCTCCTCTGGCCAAAGTCATCCATGACAACTTTGGCATTGAGGAGGCTCTCATGGTAAGGACTAAACTCTGATATATTACACTGCGTTTGCATGTGTTTAGCAGTTTTCTGTTTGCATGTTTCACACCATGTAACCATGTTGCCCTCTGCAGACCACAGTCCACGCATACACAGCCACCCAGAAGACAGTGGATGGCCCCAGCTCCAAGGCCTGGCGCGATGGCCGTGGCGCCCACCAGAACATCATTCCAGCTTCCACCGGTGCTGCTAAGGCAGTGGGCAAAGTCATTCCTGAGCTTAACGGGTACGTCGGTCACCGCTGCTGGACGAGTCAGAAAGTCTGAGGTATTCAGCAGCACGTCTAATATTTCTTCATGTGTGTTTATCTAGCAAGCTGACAGGAATGGCGTTCAGGGTGCCAGTGGCCGACGTGTCTGTGGTAGACCTGACCTGCCGCCTGTCCAAGTCTGCATCCTACGCCGAGATCAAGGAGGCCGTGAAGAAGGCGGCGCACGGGCCCATGAAGGGCGTGCTGGGTTACACTGAAGACCAGGTACGTCACAGAACCTTCAGCTGTCTCAGCAGCTCTGAAAACCAGACGTCTTATTAACCAGTGAGGTTTGGCTTTTCCAGGTGGTGTCCTCCGACTTCATTGGCGACACCCACTCCTCCATCTTTGACGCCGGCGCCGGCATCTCCCTCAACGACAACTTTGTCAAACTCATTTCCTGGTAAGTTTAAAAATATCCCCCATATTTATAACAATTTCTACAGGCAGAAGCTGCCGTCAGAGACTAGATTTGAAATGCCCAAAGTGAACCTGTATATGCAACATTTGTAATTATATGTCCTGATTTGAAAGTGATTTTCTCTCAATTGAAACTATTTATTAAAGTAAAACGGAGTAGAAACTTTATTTAATGGTTTGTTTTTATTTGCTTATAAACTACATTTTATTGCAAAGAAGATTTTCAGTTTGGCCACATCTGGGCCCTTAAGAAAGACCAGAGTAAGCGAACACAGACTCGCATTGTTACAAATGACTAGCAGCAAATGTACCTGCATGCCACTGTCCTTAATGGCCAGTAGAGGTTGTCCTATCCAGTAATACATGTTAATGACACTGGGAACCAGATGAACACATGCTCCTTAGGTAGAGAGCCAGAAAGCGAACACTGATGATGCCAGGCCTTTTTCAAACTGTGCTAATCTGGTTTCTAAAGCTAACAGTATCATGCACAGCTGTTACAGTAAACCTGTCATTTGTTTACACTTCCTATGGATGCAGTTAGTTTAATACAAACCTAGGAGTTTTGTTGCAGGTCATTTTAAATGATCTGTGCGATCTGTGTTCGATTGATCAGGTCTTTCTCAAAAATCTAAAATTCATATTTTGTTAAAACTAAAAGTGGAATTAGGTAACAATAAAATACAATTTAAGGCAAATTAATTTAGTCTCACATTTTTAAATAGAGTTTGAATTCAGTGAAAAATATTTTTAAACTAATACATTTAATTCTGGATGTTGTATGTACAGATTTACTCAGGGCAACTTCTGTTACCCAGAATTCATTTTCACACCCTGAAAACCAATCTGATCTGAAAACGGCTAAAAATTTCTTTTTGCTTCCTTCCAGGTATGACAACGAGTACGGCTACAGCAACCGTGTTGCTGACCTGCTGCTCTACATGCACTCCAAGGAGTAGAACCTTCCTGTCCTAAGAGACAGTGAGGAAAGGGACCACCGTTAACCATCGTATACCCCTCCCTTCTCTTTTACACAGAAGCCCCACCCATAGCCACGTCATTGCAGTTCCAAAGCCCTTAGCTCTACTACATACTTGTAGGCAGCAGCAGATGTGTATTTGAGTGTTTTGAGTTCATCTGTGTTTTCCTTTAATGACGAGGCGTCAGTTCGGTGAAAGTATTTGTGTCTGTGTGTGCCCCCCTCCACTGCGAAATTTAGATGTGCCATTATGGCTGAATACTATAACTACTGTATCCATCTCACTGTTAGTGTGATTTAAAGCTTCCTCACCAGTGGAAGGAGGAACCCGAGGGGCAGTCCTACTGTAACTCTGCTTAAGAATAAAGAGAAGACAAAATAAAGTTTGAAAAAAACCTAAACATCTCTCTCCAGATTCATTATTTAAGATAAATGGAACGTGTATTTTTTAATGTCAGACAAATTTTTGGAGATGGGTCCTTAAGTGGACTATGTCTAAGGTGAGGTAGACATTTATCGGTTTACTTTATTAGAAATATTGACTGAAAGGACACATAAAGTAGAGTTTAAAGGAAATACAGCGGCTGATGAATTTCTAAAAACAAAAGAAATTCAAGAAAGCCTCCAGATGGAAGCAGAGATTGGTACAACAGCAAAAGCGAGTAAGAGCAGCGTTGTTTCTGTATATTAATGCCTGATATTCACAAATTAATGTGGGTCAGAAAACACTTCAGAACAGAGGCTCAAAGAGATGATTAGTAACTCCCTACAATCACAAATTAGAGATGAGTTTAGAGAGGTGTTTTCATTCAATAAACAAACACTGCCACACATAACATAAAGTACAAGGAAATATGTATAATTTAAAAACTTCAATAGAAAAAAAATATTTGTGGAAAAGATTTTAAACCTTACTAAGTTTGTGATACCGGTTTTCCTTTAAGAAATTATTTCAATGAGTAAAACTTAAAAAAAAGGAAATCCGTATTTAAAAATAACGAAAATGAACATTTAGAAATAAAATACATTGAATAAAGATGCAAGAAAAATACATTTGCAATTTCTCTCAGTAACAACCAATATCTCCAATAGGTGGTGCTCATGTGATAAAAGAGGGCAAACTACCTTTAGGGTTGAAATGGACGCCATTGCTCTGTTCGAAAACCTAGGATGCGTGCTTAGAAGGCCAGATTCGAAGGACGATTACATCATAGCGCGGCGCCGAGGTCTGCTCGGATT